AGGATCATGCAGTTGTACGAAAACCTTCATCTTAAGCCCAAAATTTATCAAGTCGGCAAAAACCACGAAGCCGTGCGGTTTTAATGAGTTTTCTACGACTTCGAGGTTCAGATGTTTTCTACAGATTTTGAAAGTTTCAAGGTCCGTCGCGCACTTGATTTAAAGTTCGAAATTTTTTCAACGAACGATGCACTTTTGTAAAACCGTTCATTTTAAGCCCAATATTTACGGAGTCCGCTAAAATCAGTAATCGTTGTAGTTTTAACGAAGTTTCTACCTGTTTGAAGCTCAAATGTTTGCTATAAATTGTGAAAGTTTCAAGTTGCGTCTCTCACTTGATTTGAAGTTATGAATTTTTTTATAGGATCATGCAGTTGTACGAAAACCTTCATCTTAAGCCCAACATTTATGAAGTCGGCAAAAATTACGAAGCCGTGCGGTTTTAATAAATTTTCTACTACTTTGAGGTTCAGATGTTTTCTACAGATTTTGAAAGTTTCACGTTCCGTCGCGCACTTGATTTAAAGTTCGAAATTTTTTCAACGGACAATGCACTTTTGTAAAACCGCTCATTTTAAGCCCAATATTTACGAAGTCTGCTAAAATCAGTAATCGTTGTAGTTTTCATAAAGTTTCTACCAATCTGAGGCTCAAATGTTTGCTATAAATTGTGAAAGTTTCAAGTTGCACCTGGCTCTGGATTGGAAGTTAGGATTTTTTTAAGCAAATGAGGCAGTTGCACGAAAACGCTCATTTTATGTCCAAACTTTAGCAAGTTAACAAAAATCAGTAATCCGTGCGGTTTTAAAGATCTTCTTAGGTGTTTAAAGTTCGGATGTTTCCTATAGACTGGAAAATTTTAAAGTTGCCAGTCGCTCGTAGTTAGAAGTTATAATGCGATTATGCGATTTCAATTAGTTTTCCGGGACTTTCAGGCGCAAATGTTTTCAATTGACTGCAAAAATTTCAAGTTCAGTCAAGAAAAAATAATGACATTTTCCAAAAAACCTCGTGTTCTTGCAGATGAAGGAGAAGTGGACATGGAGGCGGCCGAATCGACATCAGCGCAGATCTTTGCTGATCACAGCGCATTGCTGTCCAAGGGACTGGCGCTGAGTTCTCCTCCTTCAGTCACCCAAGCCCTGGATGGCGTTCTTCCTTACAGGTAAGTGAAAACAACCATTTGTAGTATTACGCTTCTATCTATTTGGTTATCTTTGGAGCATTCAAATAGGAATTGAAAAATGCGGGGCTATTTACAGTGGCTAAATCTACGACTAAAGAAAGAATACTGATGAATCCAGGTGTTCACAGATCCGTGGTTAGTAGATCGGCCTTCTCCACTATAACATGCAGCTCAGTTTCCTTGTACGTCCTCCCATCGGGCACTATGAGGCTCAATGGCGGCTTTCCCCCCTTGCCACAACCGTACTTTTGCCTTTTATACACCATGGCGTAATAGACGTAGAAGGCAATGGCTACGATACTAATCACTAATATTAAGACGCAGACTATTATCACTGTCGTATAGTGGCCGGAGAGGATTGAGCAGTTTTGGGCCTTAAAGTCCCTCACAGTCACGTATTGGTCCGCGTCCAGACAGCTGATTTCGTTGTAAAACTCGCTTTGCCGCAGTTTTTCCACGATATTTTCACAGTCGCAGGTCTGGTTGAGGTTCAGATTCGACACTCTGGCCTGGAATTGAGGCCGCACGTCCAACGCACGACGATCCAGCCTTCCGAAGGTGTTCGCATCGAAATTAATGGCTCGCGAACTGGTCACTTCATTGCCGTTCAAAGTGATGCCCATAAAGGCGTGATCTTGCACGTTGTTGAATATGTTGTTCCTAAACAGAACATCGCCAGTGGTGGAGAGCAGGAAGGCTTCGCCTTCCAGCTGGTGGATTTCCGTGTTGGTCACCGCAAAAGCTGTCGGGTTGTTGATGATGAACGTGCCTGGACGAAGAGTGTGGAATCTGCAGTTTCGTATCGTGAACGTCCGATACACGGTCACGTTGGAAAAGGTCCTGCTTGGTAGATAATCGGCCACCACGCCATCCAAAGTCAGGAATTCCGTCCCGAACTTTTTGAACGCCTGCGGCTTGATCTCCTTCAGCCACACGTTGGTAAACAGCAGGTTTTCCATCTGGAGCAAGCTGGAAAAGGCGAAAGCCTCCACATTTTCCACCCGCACATTTTCGAAACTGATCTCATTGATCCGGCCAGTGAAACTGTACGAGCCGATCGATTCAACCGTCGAGTCTTTCACTGATATCTTCAGACTGGGGATGCTCAGGTCGAAGCGCTCTTCCTGAGTAATGCTGGTGTCTCTGTATCCAACCCATTGAAGGCTGTAGGGCTCGAAAGTTAAGGATTGGATGTTATTGAGCGAGATGGTGCGCAGGTTTCTCAGATCGTAAACTGCGTATGCGCCAAAGCGCACTTTGGCGCAATTGTGCAGTTGGATAATGCTCGTGTCGAAGCCTGGAATGGAGTAGCGTTGAATGTCCATCTGGAACAATCAAAAAAATATTCACCAAAAGCCCTCCGTTTAGAAAATTGAGCGTTCAGAAGAAAGAGTTACTGCTAAAACTTGAAAATTCTGAAAGTTTGCAGAAACTTTATAAATATTGTTAATCAATGACCGTCAACATAAATCTGCAAACAAGTAAAAAAAGTTGTAGATAAGTTCTATATTGTTGAGACGGATTCATTTTTTACAAACTTCTTTTTGGGTATTTCGCCTCAAAAATTTTTGTCTTTAAAAAAGA